GGATTGGTGCGATATCTAATAGTATATAGTGAAGTTCCACGAAACCTCAAAGGATTCGTGTGACACCATTTTTTTTTCAGTGTACCCGAATCAGTTGAAACGATATCGGTCAATTCTGTTCAATTTAATGTATATTGTAGAGGGAATCGTTGTGAGGATTTTCACGCAAGCAATTCTGAAAAATATTGAGTGTTAAATGTTTATGAGCATTTTTTAAAACGCCCCAAAAAGGATCACTTTCATCCAGATGATCATTATATGGGTGTATCTCGGAATTGACTGTGCAGATTGAGCTAAAACTTTCTGCAGAAATATAAATTAACAAGTCCTACTCATCGTAGAATCACCGTCGCTGGAGATTGAGCTATTGAGTTTTCGTGAATCCTTCAACATGGGTGAAAATGAGTCATTTCGGATAAGGTTCCTCCTACATAGTGTTTGATTTTAATTGAATAGGCGCGTGAAATTTTTACGGCAGGTATAACGCTCACAGGCCTACACTGTAAAAAAAAAGCGTAGACCGATAAACACTTGCCCTATCTATAAGTATTCATAAACCCTTAATGGGTTCATGAACCCAAGTATTTATGATAAGAAGAGTATATGAAAAAACATCGGGTATTTTGTTTAAATATTCAAAGATAAGGGCTTATGATTATTCGCAAAAGAGTATATTGTTGTACGGTTTCAATAAAAGGGCTTATTATTGTTATTGTTTGGATATGAGATAATTTATACTTATGTGATGAAGATGAATGCAAAACACCAAATATTAGATTTGTGTAAAAATAAAGCAACGACTTAATAACAGTCAAATCTATATAAAACAATAACGATAGTTGTATCGACCATTCATATATTATTTTGTAAAATACTATAGCAAAATGTGAAAGATTAATCGTTGTGCTTCCATTTATTGAAAAAAAAATGATTCTCACACTAAAATAAAACATTAGATATATGTAGTATGTTGTTTTATTTAGCCAACCAGAATGATCTATACAGCTACTCAGCGAAAGTTTCAGCAACAAGTAAGAAGTAGCTATTTACGCATGACTTATTTCTGAGTTATTGTTTCATGTTTCAGTCTGATCGGTCACTATGGTATATGAACAGGTGTACTGTAGAAATCATATATTCCGTTTATAATTCTTGTCTTTCTTTATTCTCATGCAATTTTCAATGCCATATGAATATTGTAATGTTGTTCCAATTTCAAGTAGCAAACATTCTACTATCCTTGTAACGGAAAAAATATTTCGATGGCGCAAATATTCTTCAAATAACTATCGAGATATATAGAATTGCGTATATATCCTGATACGCTGATGGACAACAAAGTGTAGATCAGTATCAGCTATATATTTTAGCCACCGTGTGTATAATATTAACAACAATTCCACACAGTAAGTTAATTCTTGTCCAAAATGAGTTCTGTGTGTTGTCTTTCAATACAATCGAATACAAGCGTACGCATTACAAAGCACAACTTTCTTCTAACTTGACTTGTTTAGAACTGAACTCGACTCAACTGCCTTCAATACTCTTTTCTATTTCACATAGAACGCGAGTTTATATACTAGAGAGAGAATAAGGAAAATATAAATAGGAGAGAGAGAAGGGGATACAGAGAAAGAAAAAGATATCTAGAGAGAAAAGATACAGAAAAATTACGTACTATTCAGTGGACGATTATGTGTTGTCATATGTAAGGATGAATATTAGTGATGTAAACTTAATTACGTCACTGCAGGATGTTCATCAGCTCTATGGCTTACAAGTGGACGTCCGGCGGTTCATATAACCACTATCTAATCTAGTCCTTTACGAAGGACGTACTTCTTGGCACAATCCTGTTTACGTTAAATTAGCGAACGTTGATTGAACCTAAATGTTTTTCAATCGAATATGTCCACCAAAACTTGCTCAAATCTTTTCTATGAAACTCAGACGTGTATTTAATTATGCAAGTCTATTGTAATAAGGTTGTTACTGAATCGATTTAAATGTTGTTTGATTAATAGGTATATTAGAGAATAAACCTAATCTTTCTTCTTTTTTATTTCATTAAAAATGATAATAGTCTTCTGATTTGGTTTAATTAAACGAAATATTTTTCTATCTGCAATTCATAACCAAGCTACTATTGAGTGAAGAATTTTCTTTATTATAAAAATTATCTTATTTAGATTGCTTATATGGCTACTGTGGAAAACGGCTCATGCATGACTTCAGATGTTTATGAACAAATTATCTCTCGTCGCATATTATTTAACAATATGTTAGATGACTTTTTATTAAATTGGCAATCAACAACATATACCTGCATATATTAGTCTTTTGGTGCCGTGAATATTTAATTTATTTATATGAATGAGCATATATATTTGCTTCTGTTCTAGTTATTGATCATCAGAATTCTACAATAGCTGAATTAGTATTATGCTCAATAAATAATTTCTTCATTTATATCATTTTATAATTATATTATTAATTTCTATTATTTAGTCGTCGTTGTAGAATATGATCAATGTATAAATTTAGACGGTTTTAGAAAAATTATTATTTTGTGTATATTATTTGGCAACGTTTTAAATATCTTTTTTTCAATTGGCGATCAACAACATATTCTAGAAAAAATTATATTTTTCAGGTGAAATGATCATTTAATTGTATTTATATGAATCAGCATATATATGTCAGCGTCCAATCTCGGATTCAGGCCAATCTAAGATTCGTCTAGGCCAATGTTAGATGTCAATTATGGCCTAGTTGAAACTGAAATTTCAGATTGGACTAACACTATTTCAGGCCATTCTCGGATTGATCAAATATATCCAGTCCAATCTTAGCTTGGCCTAAAATTGTTAGGCGAATCTGAGATTCGACTAGGCCAATCTTGGATTCGACTGGACTAATGCGTAATAAATTCTAACGATAAATTCAAGTAGTAATGAGATAATTAACTGGAACATTATTTTCAACGAAATAGATAATATAAATACAAGTGAACGTTACAAAACAAAATTCAATTCATGATATAGCAACTATATGAATTGAAAAAACTATCATCAATGTCCCATATTTTTACAATTAGAACCTTTTTTATGGCACTTTGTTGAACAGCATACACCATTTTGAATTGAATTTTGTTTTCTAACGTTCACCTGTATTTATATTATCTATTTCGTTGAAAATAATGTTCCAGTTAATTATCTCATTACTACTTGAATTTATCGTTAGAATTTATTATGCATTAGTCTAGTCGAATCTAAGATTGTAGACATAACAAAAGAAAGATGAGAATAACAGAAAAGATAATCGTGGAGGATGATATATGTTTCGGTCAACAGAAAAAGCAACAAGCTAATCTTAGTTATAAACACATGAACGGCAATATATATGTTGAAGAGGAAAAGTCAGAAGATAAAGAGTGATGTATGAAAATTCATAATAGAACGTCACACTAACCATAGAAACTAGTTAATGAATGATTTACGATTATCTTGAAATAGCAACATCTTTTAAATTCTTCATTTGTTTACCCTTTTTGATTTCAGTATAGTTAACCTCTCAAATATCCAACTTTCATTTTTTCTCAAATTTTTCAACTAGTTTTATCAGCAGAATATTTCCCCATGCTTTATATTCGGTATGCATATTTACTTGGATAAAACCAAGTCAACTTCGAAGTGCACATATTATTCCATGTAGAGCATGTCCAGAAAAAGATACAAGTTGAATGGCATATTTTTAAGCCAACGAATTCCTGCATTCATACAATGTGTGTTGTCAGTTGTCCATATTGAAGGATGACTATCACTTGTCGAGTAACATATTTTAAAGGCACCATTAGGTTTATTTATTTTTGAGTGCAAACAGTTAAATAACTTGATACGTTGATGACTATAGGCTCCTAAAAAAATACGATTGCATTTTGAAGAATTTATAAAAAAAAAAAAGAAAATATTATCGTGACTATGGCAATAGATATAAATTTCATAGTATTTTTATCAAATTTTTGTATCAGATCTTCGAAACACATCATAGTTATTATCGTCTATGTCCAAAATCGGATTTGTAAATCAATAACAGTGTTAAATTCTTCTACATTCAGAAGAAGCAAAACGTAGAAATTGCTATTCAATCACTCGATAAGGCAATATCGATTTCATTGTTCGTAGATATTTCATCAGCGTATATCAGAGTTATATACTGATGGTTTATCTTATGAGTAATTTGAGGTTATCCTATGTTTGTCTTTCTAGAAAGAGAAAATAACACTATTATGAATCAACTGATGCACCTTCAGTAATACTTTTCTCTATTTGTTTATAATTTAGGTTATTCATATAGTAGCTTTAACGTAAACTAATAAGCTATGATTCATTTGCGAAGAATTCGCGTATCACGTGCCATCAGAATCACTAGAAACCGATTTGATTGAGCGCAGTTTTTCTACTTTATAGTTTTTTTTATAAAATATTAAATCAATACTTTTCAAACCTTCAAAATTGACAAATATTTCATATCACTGACCGTCTTAAGAATACCAGCTGGAATTTAGGTAGTTATTATTTAGAAGACGACCAATAGAAAAAAATCCTTATACTTATGATACGGAATACAAAAAAAACTATGACTCATTGGCAGTAACGTTCTTTTTTTATGGCACCTGACTTTGTTTTAAAGCGTAAAAGCAAAATAAGCAACCACTGGTTCGAACGCATAATTTTAACATGAAAAATGTACACAAAGATCTGATTTGGAATATAGTATTTATCTTTCATCTGTATGGCTATTCTAATTATTATTGCATTGTAATAGATTTTTCGCACGCATGCAAAAAATCTATCAAAATATGCTTGAACTCAAGTTTGCTCACTTTGTATAATATGAACATTCTTTGAGGTTTATTCTAAACTGTTATTGAAATAAATTCTATTTTTCTTACCACTCATATTTTTTCAACTAAAACTTGCTTGAAAATTGATTAATCCAAGTATTAGTGCAGCGATTTCGAAAATGTTTTGAAGATTCATTTAATAATAGTAATAAAGAACATTGTTGTAAAACCAATGGTGATAAGAAATGTTCATTTTCGATATATTCCAAAGTGAACACCAACATAAAATAAGTATTTATTTTATACTATATAAAACAGTCATGAATGATGCGATATGATTCACAATATTAGTCACTCATAATAATATTCATTTTTTCTATTAGTACTTTAGGTTCGTTTCGAAGTACGTGGTGCTTTGTTGTTTTTCGTTTATGTTTTAAAAACTCCAACGCATTTCTTCCCCCTAACTTCATGATTGTATCGATCATTCATTCATGATAAACACATATTTGATAAATCACTATATTATAATTCAAATTGCGTTTCAGAATGAAAACCGTTGAGCTACCAGCAAAAAACATGCTTCGACATAAAGTCGAACGTCATTAGTTTAAAATTTCAAAATTATTTTCTTCAAATAAGCTCATCCAATTTTACTTATGGTCAGTGATATATCGAATCTAAATCTATAATCAAAATTATATTTATTGCATTTCAACTTATTGTTTCTTTCGAAGGAAATTCATATAGTAAAGATTGTAATCAACATATTCTTAAGAACACGATTCCCCCAAGAGACGCCATAATAAAATCCCATATTGAAACAGATGCTCTATTTTGTACATCAGAACAGCAGTAAAAATAACAAAGAAAATATCTTTTATGACATATGCTATCGACTGGCGAAAAGACGGACGAAAGCAGTACTCAGGCAATTTGACTTTAATTTCGGATAATGTTGGTAATCGATCAGATGTTGTCGGTAATACTGCATTGAGGTCCTGGTCTTCAAGTTGATATTCATCGAGATTTGTATGGTACTCTTCCCTTCCCATCCTGTCACACTGCTGTTGAGTTAAATGATATGTACTGGCAAAAAAAACAGAAAGTAACGAGTGGCTACGAGAAATCTTATGACACATTATTAAAGGAATGTGCTTAGATAACCTGTTTATTTCAATATCAGAAAGCACACCACAGCTGAAACGCGTAAAAGAGAGGAAGAAAATACGTATATTTACGCTTTCACACATTTAGAGTATAACGCTAGGCCAAACACAACAAAAAGCGATCCAAGTAATCACACCAGAAGAGAGAACATATATAGTAGTAACAAAGGATGATATGATCCAAGGAACAGAGAAAAGAAGGAAAAGGTGGTACTGATAAGGTGGAGCCTACAACAATTGGCCACGAAAGCAAAATGTGTGTCCGCACAAATGTATCAGAAGAAAAAGAAACGAAAAATAAAAAAGCAGAAGAATTGATGCACCTGTTCAATCAGCAAAACGTAAGGAAAGAAAAATTGATATTACCTATATGAAGTCTATATTCGAATGGATTCCTCATCATGAAAAAAAACATTTGAAGTCGATTATAACATCTGAGATCCCTCGACAAATGATAGATCTTATCACTGTTCTGTTCAAATTCATTCATTGTCTGGAGACAAACGACTCCACTTGATAGCATCATGAAAGGTCACATTGAGTGTGGGTGTGGTTCTTCTTTTATACGGACACACCCAAACCCAAAAAAAGCAGAATATGATCGAAATCTATTATTACATATGAATTAATTTCAATCATATTTAAATAAATACATTTAAAAAGAAAATAATTGAAATATAGTAATTTTAAGTAATATATAAGATTTGTAAGATATTGCAGATTCAGAGCATGACTACACTGTAAAAAAAATCCGTAGAATACTAAACCCTTAAGGGTTGATGAAAGTGCAACGTATAATAAACCCTTTTTCCGTTTTTGAAAATTTTCATAAACCCTAAAGGGTATTTTCCACATAATCATAAACCCTTTAAGGGTCTAGAGGGTGTGGGTGTGGGTGTGATTCGGTATTGCCTTATTGAATGAGGAAAAATGAAATTTGGACTGTAGTAGTTTGGACCAGAGCTGTTCACAGGGCCAATTTTATTGCCCTGCCTGTCATTTTGGGATCGCGGCCCTGTTCTGCCTTGCCCTGCTAATTAAGAAAACTATTTTTCATGCTTAAATTGAAGCTTAAGTAATTTTTCTTCTTTGAAAAATAATTCAACAAATAGGATAAATGATTAACAAATAACAAATTAGTCCTATATCAATGATTGAACCTCATGATCATCACACAAACACAAATTTATCAATCTATTTACTATTTAATAACGACATCTGATTTTTTAGTTTCTTTCACGTTTCCGAGAAAAATAAAACTGCTGTTACTTTCAAACGAAAGTCAACACATGCAAAATTTGCAGGGCATGAAGATATAGCCCTGCCCTGTCCTGTGAACACCTATGATGCGTAGTATATGTGTAATTTCAAGGAATAAGTTACTAACTCATCCAACTTTCTTCAATATTTCAGACTAAACTAAAAATTAAGAACTATACCAATTCACCATATATCATCCAAAATTTTTATAAAACTGTTGCATCTCTGATAAGAAAACATTTAGTGGATATGAATTAGTTTTTTTCAAAATAAATTATTCCTGTTGAAGGACGACAGTCGCATTACACGAAGTCATGCATTGCATCTTTATGGTAACGTTTCTGTATGTGTTTGTGCTAGTTTCTAAAAAACTCAATAAACCTGTAAATAAATGAAATATTCAAAGTAGTTAGCTGATGTAATAATCGTAATAAAGTTTCGATATTTGAAGATAGGAAAACTGAACTGAAGGAGAGTGATCGATCAGTTGCACTTAGCATTTCTTGTTGACTCAGTAGTCTTAATCAAATAAAAATTCATTGTTCTCATTTACCTAAATCTACGTCAGTCGAATGTCAACATCAGTGCATGACTCCTGATATTTTAAAAGTATCAGTATTTGTACGAAGAACTTATTAAGGGGTTACCCTTTATTATAGTAATTTACTAATGATGGAAATAGCTATTTCCTTCATTTCAATGAGCCATAATTTGTAAGAGTAATTATTAAAAGATTGCCAGCATGATCTAGGGTCTTAGCAGATACGTGTGATGGGACTTTGTAGTATTTTTCATCATCTGTTCGGCAACAACAAAAACAACATTGAAAGAGTTGTCAACTTTAGGCAACATATTTGAAATAATAAAATCGTTCAAGTGTAAAAAAAGCATAATAGATGCTTTCTAAATGAAAATAAGTTTTTGTAAAGTCACTTCAGCTATAAGTACCAACTAAAAATTTGCTGATGAAATTATAAAACCAGTGGATTATACTACAAAAATTTGCTATATTTATTGAAAAAATAATCTTGACAGAATATTGACCTCTTTAACAACCCAAGTTATCTTTGTGGGCTGAGTAGATTAATCAAAAGCTAAAAATCCAATGAATCGCACAATGTTTGAAATATTTTCACTAGAAGACTCGATGCTCGCTAGATGTAATTAATCATATGTGGATCTCTTCTCTCTGTAGTCGAAATTTGTTGAGCTTCTAAAAGTCAACAAATCAATTCTTATATGCAGCGAATACATTCTCAAACTCGTCCGTAAAAAAAAGAATAACCTTGAAAATAAAATCCTTCTATGACGAATATTTTCACAGCATTAGAAAATTCTGTTAACAGTACTGATGGAAATTTCGTTCTCCCTATCGCGTAGATCTTAATCATGCACTTAATAATTTGATGCAAAATTTCGGTTGCTAAAAAAGAAAGAAAATACTTCTCTTGCCAATAGAAGAGTAAACAATGAAACAACTATGCAGAGCAATAGACGAGAGAAAATGTAAGTCTCACAACAAAAAAAATACTTACATACGACAACGTGACAAAACATTCAATAAGTACAGTATTTTTATTTTCAGTTCTGCAAATGGAATTCATACATCGTACACTTTCACTGTACAGTATCTATCTTCACTAGAAAAATACCAGACGATAATGAATGAATAAATTATAATTAGTTGAATTGTTCACCTTTGCCAATCAATGTCAACTTCATCGATTTCCCCAAAAGTCCAGTTAGCGGTTATTGTGCTATTGTCTATTCTACTCATATGGACTTATAAATCATGTTCGCCATTGCCTGTTTCACAATCAACTGTTCCGGCTTTAGTGAATTCACTACTAAACATTTCATTGAACGATACGAACTGTCAACTATCACTCGTAGAAAGTGATGGATATTTTTGCGAATTGGATTCAGCCTGGATCGAACGTAAACACGTCTATTCTTCTCAGGATAAAGAGAATATGAAGAAACGTCCAGATACAATTTATTTTGTATCAACTTGGGAGCCGAATTTTCATTGTTCACATGCTCGACGAATGGGCATTATGGGCGACGGTGGAAAATGGGTTTGCGATGTCTATCGATTGAGATCACGTGATGATTGTTTAATTTATAGTGCTGGATCGAGCGGTGATTTTGCATTTGAAATTGAGATGAAAAAATTCGTGCCCAATTGTGAAATTCACACCTTCGATAAAAATCTGTATGTATGTCCGACAAACGTATGCACTTTTCATCAGGTCATATTTGGCGATGGAATTCAGCCGGATGGTTCGAAGAGTTGGACGAGTATCATTCAAGAGTTGAAGCATACTAATCGATTTATCGAAATTCTTAAAATTGATATTGAAGGTGGCGAATATGCATTCTTTCCTATTCTCTTGAATTCGAACAAGAATTTACTTCCACGACAAATTCTTATTGAAGTTCATCCGACTAATGTTACCCTTGTTCATGCTTTCTTCGAACGCTTGCGCAGCAATAACTACGTTATCTTCAGCAAAGAAAACAATCTTTACGCAGGCCCTTATTTTTTTGAGTTTGCTTTTTTGAAATTAAATCCAAGTTTTTTCAATCAATCTCATAATAATAATACTCACAAATAAATGTTCAAAATAGGAATCTTCATGAAATCGGATATCGCTCTCAATTGAGCGAGACTCTTGCAAATGTTTGATGTGAGGAAAAAACGCACATGACCTCTGCGAAATCCAATTTCAATCGTGTGCTCTGAATTTCGTCGTTTTATAGTCGAATCAAGGGAGAAAACTAGACCATACCTAGCCATAACATGCTGCAAAAAAAATGTTAGCTATTTCAAGCCTGCTATTCACCTGTGCTACGGTGTATTAGCCGGAGTTCAGCGAGCGAAAGCCTAACTACTTCATTGTACTCCAATCAAGTAAAATGAAGTGTATGAGCTTTACTATTAGAATGACGTGCACTGGCTGGAGTATGAGGGCCTCGCTTTTCTCTCTTGATTTGAATAATTTATTAAATCCTCACTGAGAAATATTTATGTTTTGCAGAGTACCTTCTCAATGTCGTAGAAATGGATATGCTCGCAACGCCCGTTTGCTGACTCATCTGTTTATTGACAGATAGAACCATTAAAAAAACACTGATAACGAAAGAACTGATGACAAACAATGTTTTGCCTTCGATACATGTGCGTTTGGCATATCAGATAAACGATATAACATTTTGACGATGATATGTAACGTCGAAATCAGATTTTTTTCTTGTTCTTTCTCTCGCTTTATGTCAACCAAATTCACATAAATCTAGCATTTTATTATGTGAATCGCTTGTATGAAATAATCATTAAAAAAAACTGTAATATATAATCGTAAAAGAATTACTAACAATGTATTTACTGATTCTATCTTTGTTGATCAACTCTGTTCAAACTCAGCAAGATATTTGCTCGTGTTCATGTTGTATTGGTGTGTCGTGCTCTCCTGTTATTGTCGGTTCATTTTCCGTATCATCATGTGCAGTAGACACATGTCTTCAACTGTGTCGTACGTCTTACTATCAATGTCAAGCCTATATTCCTAATGGACAAGCTATGGGGCAATGCTCATCGTCTGTGAGTCCTTTGTACCAGTGTAGATGTGATTGTTGTAATACAGGTTCGACTAGTTGCGTACCATCATTTGTTGGTTACGGTAGTGCATACCAATGTAACACTGCTGCCTGTAGTATTTCTTGTGCTTCACAGTATCCAAGTCAATGTGTATCCAATCAAAATGGACAAGTAAGTGGCACATGTACTGGCCCGATTACCACAACAACAACGACTACGACGGTTAGAACAAATATTATTGGAACCGGTTATACTTGTTCGTGTATGTGCTGTTCATCAGGTTCTAATTGTGTAGCAAATGTCGGCGTAGGCTTCACTATAGCATCTCAATGTTCGTCATTATCTTGTACGCAAGCATGTCAAAATCAATATCCAACCTATTGTCCTTCCATACCCTCGTTGGGTCAAAGTAATGGTATATGTACAAATCAAGTTAACGGAAATATACGTTGTCAGTGTCGATGTTGTACAGCAAACGGATGTCCAACTTATGAGATAAACACCACTGGAGATTGTACATCATGTTCTACGTTATGTCAACAGCAATCGCCTTGCGGTAGTACGAATCCTGCAGCATACACTTGTAGTACAAATACAAATAAATCAAAACAATCAGTAGAATTTTCCCTTTTAACGATTAGTTTTTTATTAATAGCAGTTTTACTATAAAAACTGCTTTTGAAATTACTAAAATGTATGTATAACTTAATTGTAACATGATATCGTTTAATATTGATTATAATAAAGTGAACTAGAAAATGATAAGATATTGTATTGGTTTATCCATTAATCTCCGGGTATTTATTGAAGTGCCATATGTTGTGAAAATGAAAGACATAAGAATAAGTAACCAGGTTGACTCATTTTACAAGCATCTATACTGACTTTATCTATAGGTTAAATATGTGACAACATTTTTACTCAGGGAGAGTTTCATTAAATAGCGAAATTGACTTTTTACAGCTAGTCAATCTATTTTTATTATACGTTTATATGCTATCTACAAATGCCGATTTGTACAGCTTGAAGTCTATAAACTTAACAGATGTTTTCAGTTAACAAAAAAAACGATTTTCGATTTGGCATAATCAATCATGAAATGTGATTTTCTCCTCAAGTCAGCTGATGTCTATTTCAAAATAATTCCTTGTTTGATTAGTTTACCCAGTAAACGTTTACCTCTATAATAGTCATAAAAAATCCCGAGATGAATCACTTTCTCCGATATTCTAGTCACAAGATAAGCACGATCCGTTCTGATTTCAAACAGTTTTAAAGCAGCTAGAGCACATGTCGCCCATATAGATCATGTATCGGACTGTGAATAGTTCAGCACAAGCAGCAAACAGCTCAATGCTTGGTTCCTTATCGGCTTGAAGGTTTTGTTTTTAAATTGCTATGAAACAATCTTTTCTTTTTCATTCATATACTTTACGTTCGCATGTACACTTTGAAAGAATCCTTTGAATAAAAGAAACTGATTGGGTCCTTATTCCAATACAATGGTACGATCGTTTTTTTTCATTTCAACAAAGAAAAAACTTAATTCACATTGAAACAATGAAGCTTTTATAGAATGATCACAATATCTTCTGATATTCTGTTGTAAAATTGCTGTTTGTTAATAATTAGAAATATTTCTTACGCGTTATTTTAATATTTTTATGAATGAAATTCTTTGAGTTCGTTGTGTGCTTTTAGTAATAAAAGAATTCAAATCATAAGTTTCAAAAAAAAGAAACGAACTACTATGAATATTCGTACAGGTTTAACTACAACCAAAAAATGACTCAGATTTTTTCTAATTATTTGAGGAAATGGATTCGAATTAGATCGGCATCATTCCAGGTTCCAAGTATCAATGCTAACAAATGTCGGCCAAAACTATGTCGCAAATTCGACATAGAACGTTTCAGATGTAGATTAATCAAATTCTTCGATTGCACACATTGAAAACAATCTTGCTTCTCTGCTATAATATGTCTTCTCGGGAATAGTATTGAGTGTTTTTTTCTGCCACAAAGAGAACAATATCAACCCAATAGTCATACTATTTGGAACTGATTTACATATGTTTCGAAGCAGTAAATGTGTAACGAATAGGATTGGCTTCCAACGATTCAAATAATCAGAAACATTGGCTGAATTTTGTTTTTCGGGCCTTTTTCTTGAAGCTTTCCGCGATAGACAAATATCGAAATACGAAAAAAAAAAATTTCGATGTTGACAGTCACTATTTAAGTTCTGTTGCGAATTGTAAAGAAACGAATCTTATAATAATTCGACGATCATTAGTAAGACAAAAAATGCAAAAGAATAGTCTAGTTCTAGTTGTAAGCTATTGTTTTCTTATACTTGACTTAATGTTTGACAATAAAGAATAAATTCCTTTGATATAGTGTTTGTTTCATCTTGGCTTGGTAGCTTTTGCAGACGAAGCAGCGAATGCAATAGAAACCGCATGCGAAAGTGTAGCAAACAAAACACAATCGGCTGGCATTATTCTTGAAGTAGTGTCTAATGTTGTGAGTGCCAATCGAGAACTACCAAGCGATTCGCTCACTAGCAAATATTTAGAAGAGCCCACAAATATCATGCTATTATCAATGCCTGGTGACGGATGTAAGACTTTCTTCACGCTTTTAAAATCAATAATTCAACGAGATTTGACAACTGGCGGAAAGACGGTTGAATCAGCTACAACAGCTGCTAATGCGCTCATCGAAATTGCTCTCAAGCCGTTCGCACCCATCGTAGAAAAAAAATAGATTGATAGATGATGAGTTGAAACAGCGTTCCATTCTTGCCGATTCTATTTTTTATTCTTTGCTTGATTTTCAATAAAATTTATTTAGAATACGAAAAAATATTTACAGTCAATTAAATCCAACAGTGTCGTGCTGAAAGTGTAAATGTAATATCAATAACTGCTAGTTGGGTGATACTATGGCTGTGTGGAAGTTGTTGAAAAGAGTATTACAGTTGCTTCTCTACGAAAAACAACAAAGATTGAGTCATTAATACCTAAATCGACTACCATGTGTATTCAACCGCTATTTTTCTTTAAAAAAATAATAACTCAAGATTTTAAAGTTGTCCTAGCGTTTTTTAACAAAGGCATATACGGTCATTCACAACAAGCAGCGGCGTTATTTGATTCTAGCGAAGATTCGATGCATGTTGCCATCGCGTATACTTAAGGATTTAGCATCAAATGACAATAACAATAGATAGTAAGAAACGGTTTTGCCAAATCTAGTTTCAAATGTGTCGACTATCATTTTAGTCGTGGCATAAAATGCAATTATCAACGATAATAGTTTTTCTGACTTGCACAATATTTTACACGGGTGCTTATAACGCGCGTGTGTACACTAATGAAGCTGTTTTCATTAGAATGCTGATGCAAACAAGAGATAATTACGGTTGTGATGCGATTGTTCCTAGTTGCGGTCCAAAAGGTAAATGCTGTGATCGACATGATGCATGTTTTAAGCAACATCGCTGCCGTGCAAACAGTTGGGGTTGGTCTTGTAAGTGAACTTGAACACGATTCTCTTATCTATTTATTTATTTCGATATCTTGACAGGGATACCAGGTGCAGCATTGTTCGACCCATGTGCTCGTTGTAATAAAGCTGTTTTCATCTGTGTTACTACTCTGTTTTTATGGCCTGGGCCAAGTGAATGTTGTGGAATTGGGAATTGCGGACAACATAGACCAAGAAAAAAATCATCTAGAAATAGTGCTCGGCTTCCCTTCAAAGTGAATATTTGAAATAAAGTGTGTTGCAATTCTATGAGACGAATATAGGAAAGATCGACTTTGGGAGAACATTTTCGCCTGGTAGCTGAGCATTTTAATTCGGAATATGAATCTGTTGAATAAAAATGAAAATTTATATCGTTGTTTCTTGAAGACTGAATGATCCGTCTTTTGTTAAAGAAAAGGCAGTTCGGTATAAAAGGATCAGAAGCTCAGAGAGAGTAGACTGCAAACTAATTTCTAGAAACAAAACCAAATATATCTTTTCGAAGCAAAGAGTGATGGCTTGTTTGAAGATAAATACAGTGGCTGGCCATTGCGAATATTGAAGGAGACACTTTCGGTTATAATAGAATATTCTAGTTTAAAAGTAATAGCGTGTAAAATTTTATCATTTGCTTTATTGAATGTTAATGTGTTAGTAAAATTTAACAAGTATTCTTGATTGAGACCGCTGAAATAAATGTTTTTGTGAAAGATTATTGCCGATATTTTTTCATTTTTCTACTGCACTGGCTCTTGCATTTCTCGATTGTTGGTCGGTTCCGTAAGAAATAAAAATTGGCAGATTTTTCAAATTTGATTTTTCGTTTGCTTTTGTCATTTTCTATTGCACCCCAACGCTTAAGTAAATACATAACATTTTCAAAATCGACTTTTTTCCAATAAGTACGATCACGAAATTCAAACTTGCGCACAATCGCTAAACGTTCTGGTGAGTATTCTGTCAGATGATTTTTAGCCCATTTATTTATTCTTGAAGGCCAATTTTCTGTTAGAGAAAGCAGGCTCATTGAGTCAAAACATATATCCCATGAAAGATGTGAGAAGTCCCGACATAAATCTAAGTTAACCCAATGCCAATGAAAATATTCAAGTGAATTAACTAGTGGAATAAAAGGGCATAGATTCTCGTCTTTTTTCACGCTGATATTTGGTATAATAGTACGGCATAAATCTTCGTCTTCGTCTATGTGGTGTTTTCTTCGCCAATGAAACATATGTGTCTTGGGCGCCGTAAGAGTTTCACCAATGATGTCTGGATCGATTTGTGAGGCGTCGACTTGTTCTAAACTTTGTCTATACATGTTGAGTGCACTGCGTTGATCAGAATTAAAAATACTAGAACAATAGTTCTCTGCTATGAACAATGTTTGATAGCGGAAACGTGGGCCAAATACAGAAGGAGAACTAAGAATATCTATGACGAGATTGAATATAATTTTCACAGTTTTCCAATCATCCATGTCGTATTCTCCACCACAAATGGCCACTAAAACTTCCGCGGCAGTATCACGCGCATCGCCAGGACTGGCTTCATAATAGTGTCGATGGAATCCTTTTTCAGTAGGATCAATTGCGTTTTTCAAAATAGGAACAGGTAATGGATAAACAGATAGAAACTTGTATAGTTCCAAAAGGAATAGTAGATTACCACTGCGCGGTAGTCTGGAAAAGAGAAAGGATGACCTTACATTAATTACTGTGGCAAGCACGATCATAAAGTACGTATATCGAAATGGATAATTCAGAATGAATTCGCCTTGTTCGTTTCGTTTAGTAGAGAAGTTATTGGCATTGAATACCAAAGTAGCCAAATACGGAATTCGTTGAAGTTGTTTCTCTGTAAGGGATACAGTTTGATTTGATTTGACGAAACGAAATACATGCACGCCTTTGTTATGGGCTTCTAACATCGTCAATGCTGAAGCCATGGTTAAAAGTCAACCAAAGTATAAGTGACAAAAAACAAGCTAGTCCTTTTTTAAGTTTCTTTTACATTACATGCACAACACTAAAAGAATATATGAAGCATTTTTACGATTATTCAGATCGTTTTATTGCTGGAATTTTCCAAGTACGTGGTTGTGAGTTATCTGACTGTAAATGAATCACTGGTATGTTTACGTCATGGTACAACTGGTTTCGTGAATCCTGATACGTTATGATATTCTACGAATCCCTCCATTGATTTAAAATTTGCAGCCAATTCATGAACCTACTGCTACCAAGCAAATTTGTTCTGAGGTATGGTTCATATGGTTGAGATAACAATATACAATCACTTTGGCGAACTTCTGTCAGACTAAATAGAGGTCGCTTAAGACTAGTTTTTCGATGTCATGAAAATCTTTGGGAATTAGACAAGAGAAATCAAGCAATGGAATAAAGCTTGATTTTATCTCTCTACAGTGATTTTGTTTTTCATTGGCCACTTTTTTCTACTCTATTAATTAGAATGACTTTACTTAGATCTTCAACATGCTGTTATTTATTTGTATTATCGGTTCAAATCGCATAGAGTAAATTACGTACACTATTGAATCTAGCTTATCTTAACCGATTCATATCGTTCGTATTTTTACTCAAAATAGGCACAACAAACGACCGTGTTTTAATTGATTTCAAACTCACGTGATAATCTTGAAAAAAACTAATTCAATTAGAGCGGAATTATATGATTCGTCCTATGAAAATAGATGTGTCCCTATTTATAGAAAAATCTTGCTTTTCTTCTTGTTCTCCAATCAATTCCTCGTTCAATATATTATTTATATTTTGAACAAAAAAAAACATAAGAATATTCAATCAATGCTAACAAAATAGAAATGATGACTAGGCATTTTTCTCGCTCATGACCGATTAAATTATTAAAATCGCTGATTCGAATGCTAATACTTTTACAAATCATCATCACCATCACCTCTATCAAATATGTCATTATTATTTAATCGTTCTAGATCCGACTCGGTTCTTGTTGCCAGTCCAGCGAACGCTTTCGATGCAGTTTTTTCACTTGCCATTGTTGGTGTAACGGATTCCACGGTTGAATTAGTTGTTTCTGATTTTTTCGCTAATATTTCATCAACCATACTTTGTAGAAACGTACTTATCGATGGTGCTTGTTCTGTATGTATAGTAATCCATTGTAGAGTATCTTTTTTAATTAAATATTCTAACGAAATATTCATATCTTGTTTTGTCCAATTGACTTTCCAACATCGAATACGTGTCACTTTAAATATGAGATTTTGATTTTTCTTTTTTTCATCAGCATCGAAACAACAAATAACTTCATTGTTTCCAATGGCCAATACACATTGACGAAGTTTTTCTTTTTTTGCATCGTTTATCGGATAAATCATTGAACATTTTCTTATTATAATATGACCGTAAAAGTTCGATGTACGTGCTAATAATATATAATCCTTAAATGATTTATTGTCGCGTAGAATTTCTAATTGTTGATAGATATCGCTGGAATATAAATCACGGCTTTGTTCGATTTCGTATTGTGCTTGAATAAAAAGAAGATTACGTGCACGACGATCATCAAGGAATTGTAAATCAAATTCTGGATTCCAATAGGATTTTTTAAAAACAATACAAGATTGTTCGCATGATTTTTTCGTTTGTTTGAATGATAAATAAGGCGATTCAAAATCATAGATAGGTCGTATCATATTTAATTCATTATCTTTTTGTTCGTAGAAATATAAAGAAAAAAATGATAAAAAATCTTCTTCCAATTGCATTTTAAGTCCACATGCATCGAGTAGACGAGATTTATTATCGTTAGTTGAAAGATTTTCAATAATAATTTCATGATTATTGAGTAGACATATTGCTAAATTAATTTTTTGATGATTATCAAGTGGTTCATTGGAAAATGTTTCAATTTGAGCATTGAAAAAGAACTCATTAAAATACGATGATGTTATTATATATTTATTTTGTACTATTGATTGTAAATAATATTCCAGTAACATACGTCTCTCTTCCGTGTCTCTAGCTGTTAAACTAAAGAATTTCTTCGGAGGAAATTGTTCAATATTTGTCATGGCTGTTGGTAGTAGACGTTGAAGTTCTTCATTAAATTTATGTAATTGAGAATAACGTAAACTGCAATGATGTACTCCATTTACATGAATATTAAATAAGGTATACGATTGTTGATTACTATTGGTTTCAGCCGAAGCTTCAGTTGTGTCTGGTATGGAAAAATGCATCTAAAGAAAACAATAGGATGCTGCATAACTCTCATCTCATTGAATCAAAAGACACGTTTCCTTGATAATTAGCTATGAAATAGCTGATGGTAATATTTTGGTTCGGCCAACGAAAATAGAAGTAAAAACTTTCATTCTTCCTCGAATTAGATCCATGCAGGGGTCAAGAGGTCAACAACAATATACTGCATGAATCAGATATTGGCAAAAATTCTCTTGAATGAAATAGTCGTACCAATTTTTCGCACTCGATTTTGCTACAATCAAATTTTAAACTATTCTGAATAGCAGAATACAAACCGTATCTTTGACTTGATGATGTTCAACAAGAGATTAACTCACTTTAGCATCTACGTACGTTGAGTTCTTTTTATTACGTTAAAATCAAAGAGATAAGACAGCAAAGAAAAATAATAACGATGCATACAACTAGATGCGCATCGACTAAAATTGAAAATATCCATTTTTATATACACTCTGTGCTCTTATCGTAATCATTGAGTAAATATTACAAATGAAGAAAAAAAAACGAATGAGAAATCTCGAATGATAAAAAATATAAAAAGACAAAAGTGCACTACACGTATAAATAAAAATAAGGTTTTCTTTGATTAATTATGACTCGAAACTAAACAAACCGGAATGAATAGAAATATATATTTCTGTGACACAGAAAAACACGTAGAATGACTTAAACATTTAAAAAATGCATAGAACTGATCAGATATCGATTGTGTAGCTATGAGATAATGCGAGATTCCTGCATGAGAATTTTTCTAAATCACTGCTATTTATTTATATTGTTTATCGATTGTATTTCGCGATAAATACATTGAAAACAATCATACATAAATTGTGTAAATAATGTTTGTAATTTCACTGGTTTTGCAGTATCCATTGTCGAACGTTTATATTGAAATATAAAATATTGTCCTTGAATATAATATCGCTCAATGATTTCCCATTCAAAATCGGCTATATGACCCTCCTCCAATTTACCGTCATCGGAACAAGCGTGCAAACGAAGGCGTGCTGAATTTAACGATACAATAACACAACCATTATCTTTACGTGAACTGCATGGGCATAGCGGAAATGTTATTGTATTATAGATATCGGTCAAGGTTTGTGCATATTTTATATATTCAATTTCGTCAGATGTTTTTAAAGCTGATCGTTGATTGATTGTAACATTTTTCGAACGACTTAATTGATCGACAGCCTAAAGAAAAATAGGAAAAACCGCACGTATACTTGTAGGCGAATAAATTCAATGATCAAGTTCGACTATATTTACCTCACGATAGATATAATCACGTGCTAATTGATATTTTAAAAGTTGATTTTCTATAGTTGGTGAAAAAATTAATTTACGCAAACATAAACACGTTGCATTAGCTGTACAACAATTTTGAATATATATTCGATGTGGATATTCATCTGAATGAAGTTTCCGTTCTAAACTTATTGAAAAAATTGTCGATTGACTTTATAGTTTAAAACATACGTACCGAAACCATAGTCGAGTATTTCAAAAAGATAAAAATATGGTGCACATGGTTCTGGTAGATCAATCTTTTTCACGAGTATCTAAAATAATTTTTATACGGTTAATGGAATGATTCTATTTTCGGACAGACTTCATAGACTTGATTAGCAGTCGAAAGGCGTTTTATTTTTAAAATTGTTATGGATCGATCCGGTAACATAATTTTTATTTCAACATCAACCGAAATAGAATCATCCTAGAAAACAAATTCAACGATGATTGAAAATTTAAAAGGATAATTTATTCTTACTTGATAAACATCTGCCGATAGAAATTCTTGTACCGAATCACAATCACTAATTACACGAACCGAACAAACTAAATGTATAGAATATATATGAATATTTATTTCAATGAGATAATTTTTCTTTTTACTCTTATCAAGGTATTGTTCAAGGCCACGTCGACGCGTATCTAATTGTTGATCCGATAATTTAAATGGCCATTTTTTTGGTAGAGAACTAAATGGAAAATCTGGAAATTCTTGTTTTAATTGTTGATGCAATGAAGCAAATTCTCGATAACGTCGAGAACATAAATGACGACCTGATGAATAGAAATTATAGGAATTCTACTAGAAACAAAAAAAAATTTACCAGCTATATGAATATTGAAGGCCTGAAAAAGAAAAATAAACGTAGTATTAAAAACAACTATTTGATTCTCACAGAATCTTCAAAACAATAATTTTACGATAATAGAAATCCTCATGAGTCGATATTCAATAACTTACATGAAATTTTCCGTCTTTAGCTTCTACCAAAGTATAATCCGGTATCGTAATCGCCAATGATCGTCGATCGGTATAATCATTTGAACTTTCGCTTGACTCTTCAGTTGAATATGTATCATTATTTTTTTCATCGCCTGCTGAAGCAATAACTTAAAAAACAACAAGAGAATATTTATATTATTTTGTTTTCTGTGCTTTTCTTTTTTTTACCAAGTAGATGAAGGTCACCATTGCAATTCTTAATTAAGTCAACAACTTGTTTGTGGGGTGCACCTTCAACATCGACTTCATTTCTTAAAGAAATAAATGCATAGATTTATTTAAGAGAACAGTTTGGTTACGTACACTCGAAGAATTTTATCTCCAATACAAAGTCCAGCTTTTTCAGCCGCACTTTCATTTGAAACAGCTGATACATGTTGTAATGGTGCGTAGAGTGTACCGTGAATCGCTTTTATTTGGCCCCCTGCAACAACTTGTCCGCGTACATTAAACCCAAAACCATCATTCGCTTTTTTAATAATTATATTCCTTGGTGTTTGTTTTGATGTTTCGGGAATATTCATTTTTATCGAATAGATATACTTCACCGAATAATTGTAACTTGTTGTATTTTTTCAGATTGACAGATGACTCATATTATCTTAGTAGATTCCGTTTCAGTTATGCACTTGATTTATCAATGCGAATTATACGATAATTCATCTATCAAATGAATTGATTATTGCCGTTTGTAATCAAATGAAATATTTTCTATTGTTGGCAAGTCATATAAATAGGTGTTTTCAAGAAAGAAATATTTTTTTAGTGCTGCTCTCTAGGATTAATCGGTTCGTTCTATTTTATAAATTACTATGCATACATCAATACTCCTACTAGGCATTTGATAATTACATTTATTTTTCAACTGCTGATTGAAACATTTGACAGTATTTTCAATTTATGAGGATGTTCAAAATTCGATATAGATGTCACCAGTGGCAAGCGTATTGATTAATAATTGAAAGAGAAAGCAACGTCAATCATTTATTCATTCAGTCAGTCAATTCCTTTGACAATAGTTCTTCTTCTTCTTTTCTGGTATACGATTAAATACCATTTTCGGTTGGTTAATGGTTAAAACCAATCAATAGATACGATGAACGGCTATATACACGATGTTGGATGATTTCTTTCTCGTCTCCGTTGTTGTGCATTATTTTATAATCAGTCAAGAATTTTATACGTCCATCCGTTCAATCTACACTAGTTCTTTTTTCTCTCTAGATTTTACACGTTATACTTCTTACTATTAACAAAGGTTAAATATTTATTTCCTTCATCATTTTTTTTCTGAAAACAATTTTCTTTTAGAATAAATGGCACGAACAAAACAAACAGCTCGTAAATCAACTGGTGGAAAAGCACCGCGCAAACAATTAGCTACTAAAGCTGCACGAAAATCAGCTCCAAGTGTAAGTAATGCATGGCAAATGTCGAGAAATTACGACTTTATGAACGCCTGTATTAGATAATGTTTTTGCGCGCCCTTAGTACTTGGGGGAAAAAAATGATATCAGATCAAAGCAAAGTTCTTATGATGCTAGGCAGTTATTTTCAGCATTCCTGATTAATAATAACCAAGCAATTATATCGTACATTCATCTCTTTTGATTTTGAATTCTGCGAATCGGTATTCGAAGGCTTGTGAGTATCACAAGAAATAGAAAGTCGTCAAGAATGACAATATAGTTCATAGTACAACTAAATAGTACGCAAAGGTCATTAATACTAAGTGAATAGGCACCATCTGCTTGAAATTGATTTAGTTTAAGCACTGGACAATCATAGGTCATTGTCTTCTGAGTTTTTCAAATTTAACATGGAAATAGAATTAAATTAATTTTTTAATTTTTAATAGACTGGTGGTATTAAGAAACCACATCGTTTTCGTCCAGGTACTGTCGCATTACGTGAAATTCGTCGTTATCAAAAATCAACAGAATTATTAATTCGTAAATTGCCATTTCAACGACTTGTTCGTGAAATCGCACAAGACTTCAAAACTGATTTACGTTTTCAATCGGCTGCCATTGGTGCACTTCAAGAGGCATGTGAAGCTTACTTGGTTTCACTTTTTGAAGATACAAATTTATGTGCTATTCATGCCAAACGTGTTACCGTAAGTTTATAATTTTCTTCTAAGTTAGAATTTCGAAATGAAAATTTTCCTTTAGATTATGCCCAAGGATATTCAATTAGCACGTCGTATCCGTGGTGAACGCGCATAAGAGAATAATTCAATGAACATGTACAAAAAAAATGTATTCTGCTTTTTTGGTCTTAATCGATTATTGATTTGTTCTCTATATATTATTTTGTTTTCTCAGGTTGGCTTTTATTTTTGATGTCAACACTATGTGTTCATTCAAAAATCATCGTTCTTTTTGTTGTGTTGTTTAGAACTATGGATGAAAGAATCCACAAATATCCTTTTCTTTTTCGTATCGAATGAAAATTGATTTCATCGGTTTTCTTTTTTGTATGTGTAGAATTTGTTTGTATCTGTAGCTGGTTGTATGTGTTAGAACTAAACCCATATTATACCGTTTTCAATTGAAATAAACATTTATCTGATTGTTAGTCGACGAAAAAGTGAACCCAAAATTTTACTATCATGGAAAATAGTCATCTTCAATTACTGCTCTAATGAAGAATGTGATTCATCACGTGTTGGTCTTGTTAAAGTGGGTAGAGAATGAATTCAATTTTATTGTTGAGTTGTTTATATCCTACAGGCGGAAAACACTCGGCGTAACATCCGATAAGACATTTATTTTACCGAATGAATGGTAAAAGAAGTGATTTATCGAGCTCTACAATGTTGAAGAATCAGCTGACATTTGAAAATATCTAGATTGGGTTTTCCGTCTGAGGACAAAAAAAAACTATACGAATTTATAGAGAAGTGTCAGAAAAGGTAGTCCAATTTCGAAAGCTTATCGACCGGTAATAAATTTTATTTTATTCAGATTAAGAATAATGATACCTCTCAATTCTTCATGATATTTTAACTAACGCATAACTATTATGCATCAGTTTGTTTTGCCATTAGGTATTATGGAGAATTAGGTCATTCATGTCTACAAGTAAACTAAATTGAAAGTTCTGAAGAAATTTACATACAAACATGTTTTATTTTTGAGTATTTGATTACAATACTTCATCCCCTCAATTTTATATCAATGCTGGCGTAGGCGAGAATATTATGTACAGATATCTATTAATAAAGCTTTCTATAGAGGTCCACGCAGGAGAAACTGTACAGATATCTATTAATAAAGGTTTCTATAGAGGTCTACGCAGGAGAAACTGTACAGATATTGTCATTTTCTCTCGTGACATAAATGGGGTTACTTAAATAGTCGTTTCGGTACTTATAATCTTGTCAAGATAGATAAATCTTGATATCTAGAATAAAAGTTGCTCTAGATTTGAAATCTTTCGATGTTTCTCCGTCAGGAGGTAGTAAAACCAGAAGATGCTTTTCTTTTTTGGCCATTCAGATAACCTATCTGCTCGTTTCTATCCAATTTCGTTGTTGTGAACAACTAGTTTTTTGTGTGTTTAATATGTATATTGGGAGATGTTGCGAATTCTCATCTTCCATAAATGGCAATATTGCTTATTTTTGATCATGCAGCAATTCAGAATTCTCGAAAAACTTCAACGTAGTCAATAACCTTTATGTTATCGAAAGGGCACGTCAACAGAGTGAGCATAGAAGAGTTGCTGTTTCAACTTAAGCTTAATTACTATTCGATGACAAAGCAAAACTTGTAATTAGAGAAAGATTTTTCAAAATATTGTGCTTTACATCCTTTTGCCCTTAAATTTGCGGGGCTAAAAATAGAACTCAATCATTGCTCTCATGCAACTAGCAATCAAGTACATTTAATGAAGAAGCGCGAAGCACTTCGATTTCCCGTACAAATTACTGTTCGATTTAGAGTGAGACATTTCTATTAAATTGAAATCTAGCGTTATGAATGATTTTGTTGCAAGAATTCCGAATACTGTTATTCATTGGATTGAAATCAAAAAGAATATTTTTCTTTAAAAATAAATTTTATTTTTAAGTTAAATTTTATCTGACAATAGCCATTAAAAATAAAGCACAAAAATAAATATCTTCCCTAAGCTTTCTAATTCTACATCGAATATCAAAATTTATGTTGATAATCGACTATTTGCGATAAAAATATTCGCGAAAAATCCTTGTGATTAACATCATCGATCGAACGTCGATGTCGTCGTTTATACGCCGGGCAATCTTGTTCGATTATAGTCATTATTAATGATCCATATTTGCTGTCGAATGTACTCAAAAATTCTTGAATACTTTTCTCATCATCAGCCATACTATATAGTAGAGAAAATAGGATTAGAATTGATCGATTGATTTTTAGTAGCAAAGATAAATCTTACCTACACAGATATCCAAGAAATGAATAGGATGGCCGCGGTGATTGCCGATGAATACGTGAATGAGAATTCAGAAATCGACTCATTTCAGGAAATGGATGATAACCCGTTTGCCATTTACTATTCACATAAACGTATCGTTTTTTTTATTCAATATCGAAAATAAAAACCTTGAAATCACTTACTGATTCAAATCTAAATCCACCGGATGAGTATGAACTTTCGTACTATGAAACAACAGAAACAACGAACCAACACAAATCAAAGCAACAATGAAATTCATTAGTTTCTTCTCTTTTTTTAGCTGCTAAAATTAATGTACTGTTTGGAAAGTGTTGTATATTAGTAGATCGATTTAGTACTGATATATAATTGTATACAAGTCTTACGTATATATATATAGATATATATATAATACAAGATGACAAGCAGTATTCGTCTAAAAGGCATGGCTGTCAGTAGGCGTTATTGCAGATCTCTTGATAGCATAATAGTTATTTCTTAAGCGTAGGTTTTTTTTGTTTATTCATTTATTGAGATTCTAGAACAATTAGAGCTGTGTTTTTTTTCTTATTGATTTTCTAATTGTCTATAGTGTATCTTTAAATGTTTTTCCTGTCACACATTAGTCAAGCGAAAACAGATAGGTCGATTGTGGGTGTAAACATTGATTCCATTATGGTTTGTTATCTTTTTGTTATTATTATCATTATTTGCCTTAGTCTTAATTAGGCCACCTCCGCTGCCAATATTTATTGTATTAGTTGAACTTTGTCGAAAATTATTCTTCACCGATGATCGATTACTGTTTAGTGTCATTAGCGAATTTTGTACCAGTCCGGATGGTTTAAATTGCATCATGATTGAAGATGCCGATTTCATTCTTGGAATTGGTTTACAACAACAACAACAACGAGATAAAAATAGTTCACGAAATTTGATACGAAACTTATCTAAGGGAGAGAAAACAGATACATAAAGAAATTCGATCTAAGATTGTTACCACTCATAATATTATAAATAATTGGATTGATTGATGAATTGAAATAAGGAAGAAAATGAGATATTAATGCACTAATCGTGACAATGTTCGCTGCGCCCGTACGTTCAAGATAGAGACGTTTAGGCTCGACACATTGATTATCTCCGTCGGATGTATCATTTGTCTGTGAATTTGTAATATGTTCGATATAGACAGTGATATATCTAAAACAAATTGATATTTCTACTAGATTTCGTGACTGTAATTATTTGTTTTGCTTTACCTGAATAAATTGAATGCATGTACTGGAATATAACAAATACCAAAAATAATTACAACGGATATTAACATTTTAGCTGCTTTTTGTCGATTTTCTTGTACAACTAAATTAGCTGACTTAGTTGAATTTCTTAAGCTGCTGCGATTAGATTCATCTGAAAAGGATAGAGATCAATCGAAGAATTTTTTATTATTGCAAATTTCTATTCGTTAATATGATCTACCTGAAAATATGAGTTGATTTGCATGAATTCTACATTTGTCATCGTTCAATATCCGTTCACTTGGCAACGAACTCCAAAGTACACGTGCAATACCAGTATATGCATATACCATAAAACAAAGCGGAATGACAAATAAACAAAGTGATATATGTAATTGATAAAGAAGATCCGTTAATGGATGTGAATCCCATTCACAACTAAAATAATATTATTTGCTTGATAAAAAACGAGTTAAACAAATAGATATTACTATATCAAATATTGTATATGTAGCTGATCTGCAAATTGTCGATTAAGTGTCATCATAAAAGCATCTAAACATACATTTTAAGAAATAGTTATTTGTTAATTTTTGTGTACTTGAAATATGATATGCCTGGGATTCAATCTATATTTGTATGTTATTAATTATAGACACAGATAGAGAAAAGAAAAGCAAAAAGGATGCATTTCATGAAAAGCATATAACAATTAAGATAAAAGTCTTTCTATTAGTCTTGAAAACAAAAGTCATAAAAACTTTGAATTTATCCTGAAACAAAAAAACAAAATCATTATCTAACCTGGAAGAACAAGTAGTAATGAAAGTATCCAAACAGAGAGAATTAAAATTCGTGCACGATGTTTTGTTCCAGTAAATTTCAATGGATGAACAATAGCTTGATAACGCTCAATTGAAATAGCCATTAATGTCAATACAGATACAGATATCGACATGTTCTAAAATTAAAAAAATGCTTCACTACTTTTCTTTCCAATAGTAACAAAATTTTATGACTCAAAAAGCGTATGAGCTATAAAACAATGAAAATTTTATTTTCTTCTCTTCATTATATGTGAGACATGTTATCTCTATTATTCATCCTTATTATTCAACATATTTCAGCTCAATCACATTTAACATCTAATCAAACACGTTTCGAAGTTGAACTATTAAATAGACTTGAATTTGAACATGAAGCTAAAGTAGTTGGTCATGGTGGACATTATCATTTTACAATATTCAATACAAGTTACGCTAGAAATGTATTAAATATCAGTTCGTATTATCTATCGATAACTTATATCGATAAACAATCACGTGAAGAACGACTTGATACGGTTGAGTTGCCTCCAGAGGAAGTTCACTATAAGGGCACGCTAAAAATGGAACATTTAGAAGCCGAAGGCAACTATTTAATATGTGTATTATTTCTTAAAAATAATCGATCAGGTTTAATTGGTTCAAGTCGTTTTTGTCATGTTGTTTCAGTGGCAGACACATGCCAATTGGACGAATTAAAAGTATCATTTGATAATCAACCTGTTTATCTTCTAATTATTTTAGTTGTTGTTATATTAGCTGCTATTGTTATATTTTCATTTGTACGTGCTTATATATATCGACCACGTACCATTGAAGATTATTTAAGTAAACTACCTGATGTTCACAAAGAAAATTTACAAGATCTTGCCGGTCCGCGTATTATTTCACGATTAAGACATGTAAATCCAGCATTGGATCAACTTTTGCAAAATGGCTCAATTTGTACGATTATTTCTGACGATGAAAATCAACCATCAAATCAACATGTCTATACAAATGCATCATTAGATACTATAGCCGAATGACGAGCGAACTACATTACGCATATTTTTCAAAATAAATGTTTAACTATAGCATTGTTTTTTATTCTGCGTTTCTAACTCTGGAATAATAAATGATAAAGTAAAACAATCGCATACCTGTATATAGTTAACGAATTTACAAAGAAATAAACCAAAAAACCATGTTTTAGTTACATCTTGAACAACTGTAGCTGGCAAACAAAATAGAAGTACTAGAAGATCAGCTGCGGCTAAATTCATTATAAACATATTTGTCACCGTTCTAAAAACAATAGATTGTAAAGATAAGAGATGATGTATTTTTCTATTATTTTCATTCTTTGATACAACCTCATGCTTCGATTTCGTTGTATAACAATAATTACAAGTATATTACCGATGGTACCCACAATGAAAACAATCACATAGATTACAATAAATACCCATTCATAATAGGTTGGCTTGACATATTTTAGAACTAAATCAAGGACCTTGTCATTCGATAGACAACGTCCAGAACCATCAATGAAGTGGCAACTGTTTGAATTATATGAACATAAGATCGATGAATTCATTGTTAACAAAAAGAATTGAATACTAAAGAAGAAAGTTTGAGAATCAAACAAAACACCCAACCAATAAGCAATTAAAAAGAAGAAGAAGTAGAAAAAGAAACTAAGAATGAATACACCAAGATAAGTACATGAAAAATGATGAGTTCTCTTTCACCATACTGTGCAGGCGCACATAACAAGAAAATAGTAAAAGAACAGATAGCTGTTTGATGATTGAACGCATACTGTTAACAATTATTCTCATTGATTATGTCAAAGCAAAAGAAGAGAATATATTAGTACGACATGAATATTTTAAAAATCTTAAGAACTATTCAATTTACTGCAAACAACACCGCAACTTATTTTTTTTTCTATATGTTTGTAATAAATGAATATATGAATACAATAAAAATATCTGCTAGGATAATAAAACGGATCAAAAGCAATAATACAAAATAACAAACTCTTTTTATTTTTGCTCATTCTAATAAAGGGTCCTTTCACCAAGATCCATTCAAAGTTCCCGGATCTGTAGAGGACTTTTCGCTGATCATTTTGATAATAAAATTTTCGAAACAAATTCTATTTTCGCGAAGATGAAGGTCAAATACAAAAAGTACACTTTTCTT